CTTCATGCAACGATGCTCGAAAAACAAAATCCAGCCTATCGCCTCAAACTTCACGCAGCGATCTGTGAGCATAACCCATGGCCTCAGTCTTCAAGCAGCCATGCATCATCAATTGTTATTTCACTCATCCGCCGAATGAGTGAATAAGCAAAACAAAACCAAGACATACAAGATCTCTCTCTCTCTCTCTCTCTCTCTCTCTCTCTCTCGAGCTCAAGACCATATGCCTCATCATCAAACCCTGGTAAGCGATATATCATCAACTTTGCCTACTTCCTCAAGACTCGTAAGGGTATGCCATATCAGTGTAGCCTTATGTTTGTCGGATAAATTTTGGGGTATTTCAAGTATTCAATAAACTCCCAATCAGAATGCACAAGACTCACGCTTTCTCGCGCTATTCGATTTGAAGATAATTGAATAGGGGCAACTATCATACCCCAAATTTGTCCTACCCCTACGATCATAATTTCAAGATTTAAATAGAAGAAATATTTAATTAAAGATGGTACAACAGCATCTGATGGCCCATCTTTATCCAAGAAAGAAGGGTGTACTTTAATTCAATAAAATGAGGCTTTCTAAATCGGAAAGTCTCATAAATCCGTTTGTGAGGCATGTTGGCCAATGACCCATACAATTCAAAAATAAAAATTATTCGAGTAATTACTAAGTTATTAAATTATTAAGGCGACTTAAGTTTATGTTGCTATTAATTAAAAATTAAATAACTTAGCCCATTTAAATGTTTGTCGTTAGTAAAAAGAGGGGCGTGGTTACAATTGACAAGCCCATTGGATTGTTGTCAGCTTATTTGACGTTTTTAAGAAAAAGCATTATTGTTACTAAAATCTTTGTTACTATTATTTTTCTAAAAAAGAAAGAAAGTATATTTCTGTGTTAAAAAACGTGATATATTTTTCTGTTGTTGCTGATAAATTTTTTATTATTATAACTAAAAGGTATTGCATTAATATAATATAATTTATTGTATAGAAAAAATCTGCTGGATCGATCTGTTAAAGCCAATTAGGCCCAATTTGCGTTGAAAGGAAAATAGGTTTGCTATAAAAAAAAATTTATTTGTTGATTATTGTCATAGAAAAGGCCCAAAGAGCAGCTAAAAGTGTTGGGTTGAACCGAAAAATCACAAACGAAGGCCCAAGAGAGTCATTAACATACACTGTGCCAATTCACAAAAATTAACGCACGTTTTTCTTCAATATACAGCTACTGTACAAATTGATTGAAAATCTAATCTTTTTTTATAGCAAATATTAATCAAATCTTCATTATAGTCCAAGCCCAGAACTTTTAAACATATGCAGAACTAATTAAATCTAAAAATGATACAAAATCTTCATTACATTACAAATCAATTACAAAAAATTGAATCAATTATATAGATTTTAAATCCCTAATTCTGTGCTAAATCCCTAATCTATGCTAGACAATTTGTAACAGCAAAAATCTTAAGAAACTAAAAAAGACTATAAATACAAAAGGGAGGCGGCAATACGAAGGGAGGGGGGACGAATATGCATGGGGGACTTTTTTGGATAGAAGAGGAAGAGAAGAACGAGAACAGAGAAAGAACAACAAGTCTGGTACCAAGAACAAGAAGACGGACAACAACCGTAACAAGAAGAGCTTCTGGGGTTCCAATATCTGGAACTCTAGTTGCTGCCTCGCTAGACATCTCCGTCACCAGACATCACCATCACTCCCATCGTAACCTGCAAATACACAGAGAAAGAGAATCAGAGGCGAAACCGAAAGTTGGAAAGCAAGAAGACGATAGCGCAAAGGGGTAACAATATCTTAGCTTTATCTGTAGATTTGTTTTTTTTTGTATTTGGGGTTTTGTTCAAAATGGAAATTTGGGGTGGGGGAAGGATGTTTGCACCGCCACGAACGACTTAGGGTTAGAGAATGAGAGGTAGGGTGAGAGAAAGAGGAAGATGGTCACTGTAAAGTGAAATTGATTTGTAAAAAAGATTAAACAAAATATTTGTAATCAGTTCGGATCCCATGCGTGCGCGATTACCATAGTTAGTATGCACCCTTTAATTTCGTCCTTTAGATATTCATCAGACAGCCGATAGGCCAAGTCTCACCATAGCACACATACGCCCCATACACTCAATCAGCCAGACCCTCAACATTTCCGTTTGGGCCAAGCCCGTTTGGGTTTCACATCCCCTTTGTTGCAAATTACTAAAACACAAAGCAAAATACACCCCCTTGTCCTGAACTGTTTTTGGGTCTAACCCAACTGCTAACAACACCTCCTAGCTTTACTTCATAACTAGAAACAACACCCCTAGTCAATTATTTATTTTTTACATTTTTTTATATAATTATAATTATTATTATATTACATTATTATCATTTTTTAATCATTATGTTTATTATTATTATTTATATTCATGATTGTTATTATTATTAATTTTTATATTTTATTATTTATTATAGGTGAATATTATTCATTATCTTAATAAATTGTTTTTATTTAAAACTCATGAATATATTATTTTCTTATATTATTTGCATTAAAATATTTTTATATCATGCATTAATTAAGATTTTTGTGCAAGTAATATGATAAAAAAATACTCAACAAATATCAAACCTATTTTTTGCAACAAACTAAGCTAATCAACTTTTTTTTTGCAAAAGGGTTTCAAACAGATTTTGACTTACCGCGTATTTAGTCAAAATCTCCGCAATCACTACTCCCGACCAAAATTCGAGGTGATTCAAAATACGTTTGCAACCCCTAAAAAACACAAATCCATACGAACTACGAATTGAGACTCTGATTCCTCATAAGAGGATACGTAGGCATACGATCAAAAATCGTAGCGAGTTCCCTTATAAAAAAATTAAAACACTTTTCCCTTAATAATATTTAAAACCCTGTTTACCCCAACTTAAACCTAAAACCTAGTATCCTTGTGAACAAGGTAGATGAAAGGTGCATAACACCTTCCTTTTGTCTAATGAAGTCTGAAACCTAGAATCTCTATCTGCGAATTAGGGTTTCCTATTAGATGCGCTTCCCTAGGATAAAAACTAATAGTGGCGGCTCTTATTTAAAAACCAGTCGCAACAATAAGTATGCGACAAATATATCGTGTAAGATTTCCTGCTCAACATCAACAACCACAAATTCACAATGATTATACAAATATCTATAATTATCGTCATCTGTCATACAACGCATACCAATTATGCAACTTAACATTATCATCGTATTAACAATTCAACAATATGCAATTCAACATTATCATCATATTAACAAGTCAATAATATGCAATGCGATTGACACTGATGCAATATGCATGCGGTACCATCAGGGTAAAACCCTCTTCGCAATAATTCCAACTTAGGGCAACTCCTTCGCTTGCCAATAGAGGCTTTCGCTCGCCAATACAGGCCTTCGCTCACTAATACAGACCTTCGCTTTATAGATGCAACGACATGATTCACATTAATCGTTCTTACTCATCAAAATTTCTCCAATTACAGGCCATCGCCATCATCACCATCATGTAATACATCATGCAAAATTCTTCGTACATCGTTTATACAACACTGATACATTCAACCGTAACATTTTGCATTACAACACATATAACATACGCACACATCATAGTCATTCCAACAAAATATTAGTCTACTGCCATCAAAATTAATACCGAGTCAAAATTTATGGAGTTTTCAAGTTTTCAAAAATATTGTCAAACAGTGAGCAATCGATTGCAGTAACAGAGCAATCGACTGCACCCTGTTCCAGAGGCAAAAAATCATGCTTTAAGCAGTGCAATTGATTTCTCTTCTACTGCAATTGATTGCTTACTGAAACAGAAGCAAAAATCCCAATTTTTAAAAGTGCAGTCGATTGCTCTTCTGCTGCAATCGATTGCATCCTGTGAAAAATACTTTACGAATTTTGTAAAGTGCAGTACGAAAACCTTTTTGGCTTAATACGTAAAACACAAACTTCATGAAATAATACACAATCAAACATCCAATTATTATTGCTATCAACATACATCAATTGCCACACAATTCAAAGCATCAATTCATCGATTATAGCCAATTTCATCGGATTAAATCAAAACAACCTACACCAAAACCTAACATTCAAACCTTAACCTACCCATAATTATACCACCTATTAGAGAGTCAAAATCTCACCCTTATCTTAGGTTGTATATTTCTAAACCTCTACCGTAAATTCTTCCCTTTCCGAATGATTGCCTCTTCTTCTCTCTTTCTCGTTCTTCGCTTCTCTTCTCTCGTTCACAAAAAAATGTCACGATCTAACTTTTAATTTTCCTCTTATGACCAATTAACCTCTTGGATCCCTAAATCCATATTCCAACTTTTCTCTTCTCTAATTAAAATAATAGTAATATAATTATAAAAACTATATTTATTATTTTAATTCACATAACATTAATATTAAACCAACATTCTCCTTCCACATCTATGTTTCTACTTTTTTAGTCATACACCCCAACAACTTATTTTCTTCATTTTCTAAGGCAACTACCTCTCATCAAATACATCGAGACACATTAAAACACAACAATTCATATATTCACCAAAATCACCAATATTCACACTAAATTAATTAAATAATTAATCTAGATTTTTGGGGGTGTTACAGTAAAACCCTAGATCCTTTCTCCACCATCTCTATGGCATCACCACCTTCATGTTTTCCTTCCCAAATCTTCCCTCTCGTCTCATACTAAATACATCTCCTCTCTCCTGTCCCGTTCAGAATCGTCAGGCGATGGTTTTTGTCTGCGGAGGCGTTGGTTATCAAGGCGTTGAAGGAGCCAGATTGTGATAGGAAGAAGACGAAGAATATCACACATAATGGGATATTGAGATCGTGAAGATAATGAAGTTGAGGTCGATCGCAAAGGAGCTGGCAAGGACTGCGAAGGAGATTCTTGGTACATGTGTTTTAATATTTTTTTGTTATGCTAGAGAACAATGATGTATTTGTTGTGGTTGAACCAAGAGATCTTAGTTTCTACAAAGTATAAAATTCAAGAATGTTATCAATAACGAGGAGTCATCATTGAAAGGGCGCATCTCTCTTGACCAATATATCTACTATTTCTGATTTCGTTTCATTTAAACCTTATTTCTAAATTGGAGACATTATTCACCGGTATCTAGGTCGTCAAACCCTGGTATATCTACCTCCTCTATGATTTATATGGTTTTGAAATAAAAATTTTAATATACAGAGTTTCATAAACTGTTTTGTTCTTGAAATTTGCAATAAAATCTGACTTAAATCCATTTTATTCAGTATTGAGAAGGAGGAAACCAGCTACAGAGTTTCACTTCTAAGACCTCAAAGGATTGTACATCCAACAGGTGCAGGAAGATGACATTTTGAAACCGAAGGTCAAGAAAGTTACCGTGATTCCATCCGTGAAGAAGTGTGAAAGCGTTACCGGCAAAGAGACAACAGAGCCATCTAGCAGTCTTTTGAAGAAAAAGAAACCAGAAATACCTCCACCCTCGACAGAAAACGGCAACGAGGTATTTTTCTACTTATCCAAATTTCATATTCGGTGTGCATTTATTTGCTTGAAAATAAACATTTTTTCATTAACTATTTAAAAGAATGGAGAAATTGTCTTGCAGTCGATATGAGATGAAAACAAGTTCTACAGTGATGCACCTTTGAAGGAGACTCTAAGGAAGCAAAGTTATAGCTTGAAAGACTCACAAAATTGAAGATAAAAGTAGATAGATTGAAGCAAAGATTGACTCAAGTCCAAAATTACAGATCAAAGGGTTCAGAAGATAAAGTTTGTTTAAATGAACCATATATTATTCATGTGCCTGTAACTGAGTTAAGGGAAAAGAGTAAATAGTAAACTATATATGGACTATATTTTTGTTTATAATATTTTTGCAATACATATGGCTATTAGTTTAATACTTTTGGTTATCTTTGTTTTTCTTTCAGCCTACTCCAAAAAACTTTTATGATTTGCTCAATTTTATATTAGAAAATTAGGGTTTGAGTGACTTAAAATTAACCAAAAGATAAAAAAACAAAAGATAAAAAAACTTAATTGGAGTTTTCGTTTGTTTACTGCGGGAGATGTGCAAAGTCGAATTTTTTATTAACATACCACTTTTTTAACATTAAATTTCTATACTACCGTACATTTCAACTTATATTTTCAATATACCATATTTTCAAACAAAAAAAAATTTAAGTAGGAAATTAACGGATGCTCTTTAAATTATACAGTTTCTGTCTATTGCACTGACGGAACTGTTAATATGTCATTTTTTTCAACAGTTTCACGTTATAACACTTCCGCCTATTAGATGGACGAACCTTCTTCAAGTTACAACACTTCCGTCTATTGCTTTTGCAGATGATAAATATTTTCAACAGCTCCGTCCATTCACTTGACGGATGTTTTGTGACAAAAATGAAATTTATTTGAAAACATGATAGTTTGAGATTATTAAATGAAGAGAATGATATAATTTGATTTATTGTATAAAAACATGGCAGGACAGTAAATAATTCTGAAAAAAAAAATGTCAGTGATGCAATGCTGGCGTAGTTTTAGAGCTTAGAATGGTTATTTTTAAAAAGACACATTGAAAAAGGGAAAATTGATTGACAATGAAAATAGAAGTATCCGCTGAGAGAGGGCAAATTGCAAGTTGTACATATGGTCAAAGTAATGTTGCAGATGTTGTATGCTATGTGTAATTGCAGATGGATTGTTATAAATTTATTTATTTTTCGGTCCTTAAATGATATATATATATATATATATATATATATATATATATATATATATATATATATATATATATATATATATATATATATATATATATATATATATATATATATATATATATATATATATATATATATATATATATATATATATATATATATATATATATATATATATATATATATATATATATATATATATATATATATATATATATATATTTTTTTTTTTTTCATGCTATTATTATGTGACTTCAGTGCATAATTAATATATTTCCATTATATTTGTGGTATTTATGTTTGTGGAACAACAGTACTAAAATCTGATAACAGCAATTTCTTTATCCCATTCTCTTTAATTTTATTTTCTCTCTTTCTTTCTATCACACTTATTTTTATTTTTATTTAATTCATATACATGTTTTTCGTAAATTATGTTTTACACATTATATTAAGTGTAAAAGTATTATTGGATTCATAATCGATAATTAATTTCATATGTTTCTATTCATTTATCATTTGAAAAAGATAAATTTTCCATATGCATTTAAAAGAATCTTCTAACTTTTCATATTAAGCTAAATGTTAAAAATATTAAAAATGTAATTAAAATACTTTATGAAATAACACGCGATACAACCTATTAGATTCAAATAAGAAAACATACATAAATATTATATTCAAATTTGTGTATTTAACTATATAAAATATGTTGTTAAAGTATAGATGTAATTTGTTGTTATTCGAGGCAATCAAGCATAATTTTTGTTTAGTCCCTTTGTAATTTGTTATTCAGCTTAAATTTAAAATAAAAATGAAATAAAAATGAATTTACGCATGCATGCGGATGCATTCCTTCTTTTGACATAATGCTAAATTATTTAAATTAATGTCAATTTCATTACAAACAGTATTGTATAGTGCATCAGCCAGTGGTCACATGGTACTAATAATGTACACATTTACTAAGAAATGGCAGTGATAAGCTTTTTAGCTCATGCCGCAATAGAGTGAAAGTTACTTGTATTAAAGGCACTCCAACAATATCCCACTTTCCAAAGGTACACTGTTTTCATTCACACTAATCATTGAACGTAAACTCACTCATTTTGCACTAGTGTGTAACTAACTTACTATGTCGTCGACGACGGTTGAAGCAAAAGGTCGAACAGTTGGTGTCACAGAATACAGCTGGTGCAAAGCCATTCGCGGTGGCACCGGCATTGCAGTTCTATCACTCCTCTTCACTAAACCGATCAACATTTCCCGTTTCCAAACAGCCCTCTACAAACTACTAAATTCCCATCCTATCCTCCGAACAAAACTCCACCATTCTTCCAATACATCAGACACAACATTCTCCTTCGTCACCTCTCCCTCCCCCTCTCCCTTCATCAAAATCGAATCTCACAACCTCAACGCCACCTCCGAGATTCTCAAAAACAACAAAAACGACGCCGTTTCCATTTCACCGTTACAAGAAATCCTCGAACATGAACTCAACCGTAACACATGGCAAGGTCCTACAACGACCAACTCCGACATGATGTTTGCGACGGTTTACGCTATGCCGGATGCGAAAACATGGGTGGTGGTTATGAGACTTCATGTGGCGGCGTGTGACAGAACAACCGCGGTGTCGCTGTTGAGAGAGTTGCTTGTGTTGATGAAGGAAGATGAGAAAGACACGAATGGTGTTGTTGAGAATGATGTTCCCTTGGCGATTGAGGATCTTGTTCCTGGTCGGAAAACGAAGAAGCATATATGGGCGCGTGGACTAGACGTGCTTAGTTACTCTGTTAATTCATTTAGGTTTAGTAATTTGAAATTTAATGATACAAAAAGTTCTAGATTGTCACAAGTGGTTAGAATGGAACTGAATCAAAATGATACCAAGAGGGTTTTAGATGTAAGCATGCACTGAATATTATTGTTAATATTTGGTTAATTATTTTGTTTAATTATATGATTGACGAAGAATTAGTGTAATTGAATATTTCAGGGTTGTAAGAAGAGTGGGATTAAAATGTGTGGAGCAATAACAGCAGCAGGATTAATGGCAGCACATGGTAACAAGAATAGTTGTAAGAAGTATGGGATTATTACCCTCACTGATTGCCGGTCAACGCTTGACCCACCTCTCTCAACTCACCATTTTGGTATGTTTTTCAGATGCATTTATTAAACTGTTATTTATGTTTTATCAAGTTAGGCTCTACTATATGAACTAGTTAATTTTAACAATTTAATTGTAAATAGTTCTATAATATCATTTCATTTTACAGCAATGCTATTCTTACATCAAAACATACACCTACACGTTATTTATTATTTACAAATATGATTAACACTAATTGTGAAAAGTGTCATGAACTTGAACAACCAAATTGTGATACTAACAGTTTATAAATAAAATTGATTAATATTATTTATTATTGATTGAATATAATAAAAATAAATTTTAATAATAAAATAAAATTAGTTAATGAAATGATGGAGTTAAGTTAATCATAATTTAGATATTAAAAACAATTTTATTAATAAAATAAAATTGGTTAATAAAATATAAAAAAATTAATTAATAAAATAATAAATTTGATTATCACACAATTTTATATCGACTTTTCTTAATTAAAAAAAGTAAAAAAATAATTTTTTAAAATATTTTTTAAATAAAAATTATTTTATTTTTATAGTGAAATATTATTCACTATATTACCGAACAATAAATACTGTGTAATATATAATAGAGTTAATCACTATTTTGTCATTTGTCATATAAGGTGAATTTCAAAAACAACTAAGTAAAAAAATACAGATTTCATCTTTGTTATTTGTAGATTTTTCTAATTTGTTTTGTTGTTGGATTTGATCAACTGAATTAGTAATATGACGTTTCATGTGATTTTTTTTTAAATAATTTTAATTTATTTTATTATTACATAGATTATCCACTTTAATTTTTTTATTTAATTTAACTTTTTATTTAATTTAATTTTTTTACCACAATATCACATGTTGCTTTTTTATTTGATAACAACTCATACTTTAAAAACACTTGAATTATAAAAATTGATCTAGGTGAGATTCAAACCATGCACCATTACCATGCCAACCAAATTTCTTTAGGTAGACAATTTCGTTTTCATTTCTTATGATATATCTCTTCTTCAATTGTATTTATAACATATACTTTCTATTTGATATTTGTCTATTTGATATTTGATTAATTAATGATAAGGTTTATGGACAACTATAATTTAAGTTTTTATTTTATATTTAATATATTTTATTTTTTATTATAATTAATTAGTTAATTTATTTTTTTAAAATTTCAATTTTTATTATAATTAATGAGTTAATTTATTTTGTAAATATTTTAATTTATTATGCTTAATATACACAAAATTATATTTAATATGTTTAATCTATTTCAATTTAGTATGTTTAATATATTTAATATATTTTCAATTGTAATGATTTCATTATAAATATTTGAATAAATTTATTATATAATAAATTGAAAGTAAATAAAATATATTCAATAAAATAAATAAATTTAAAGTACATAAAGTAAATATTAATTATTTGAATAAATTTTAATAAATTATTAGTTTTCAGTTAATTAATATATTTAAAACATATATATTTCCAATTTTTATAATTTATATTAATTAAAAAATAAATAAATTGAAAGTAAATTATAAATATATTATAATAAAAATAAATATATTATTAAGTATATTAAACTGAAATATATTAAATAAATAAATAAATAAATAAATTATTAACTAACATTATTTATTTATAGAAAATTTAAGTTAATTTATTTATATTAATTTATTTACGTTAATTTATATCAACTAACCAAAAATATTTT